CTGTCAAAGTCGACGGGAACGCTGCAGGAGCCTTCACTTTGGCTCGGAAGGTTTTCCACGAGCATCCATCCCTGCAGGACCCAACCCCACCCTAACCCCACACCTCTCCTCTGCCAGGCAATATCTCCATCTCTGCCTCTCAACAAGCTCTGCTTCTCTCCTGGCCACTCCACTTTCTGTGACATTTTTAGCACTGTGACGTGCTGTCTTATGTGCTGTAACACATTGTACTCCGCTCCGTATCCGCTTCCTTCTGCTGTACGAATCCTGCCACCGAAACAGGGCTATAAAAACTATGCAGTGACTTCTGTACAAAGACCTCCCCCGTTCCCTTCCCCACCTTGCCAGGCGAGCTCCATTTATAGCAATCACCAGTCATCTCAGAGTCACTGAATAAAAGATAGCTACCTGTCTTCAGAAAGCAATTCTGTCTGCTCCCAGGAGGTTGCTGAGGGTGGGATTCACAGCGCTCACTGCTGTAACTACAGCTCTCAAGGTCACATTCTTTCCAAGCTGTGCTGGTCAAGCTTTACCAGCACAAAAGGATGTGCTGTTGCTCAACAGGCTGATGAACCTCTCAATGTATTACAGAAACAATCTCCATGCCTTTCCTGGTTACCATCTAGAAAGGCATCAATTTCTTATTATTAACAACACCTTCCATTACATTTTTTAAAAGGACTTGGATTAAAGAAGAGTCCCAAAGATAATCTGCCGTAAAAGAGTCTAGAAGTCCCCTGACCTTGGATGTCAAGAAAGAAACGTTCAGTGAATAGCTGCAATGAGAATTTGTTGAGTGGTGTGTTTAGGAATCAGGTCTTTTGATCGTCCTTGAATAACGACGGACAATTTTTGGTGAAGGAAAGTGAAGTTACAAGCCAGGTCACTATTTCCTTCAGCTTCCTTGTATTTATTGCTGCACAGTGAGGCAGAGAAGGGCAGGCAGTTCTCCCAGCCTAAGTCCCAGCTTTGGTTCACACCAGCCCCATCTGCCCAGTGGGAGAAGTGGTACAAGCCTGCAGGAACAGCATGAGACAGAACGAAGCCGAGGGGCTCGAGATCCCCATGCTGGCAGCACACTTGCCAGGCTGTCCTCTCCCTGCTGTCTTTGTCACAACAGGGCCTTCAGGTAGGGCTCAGGCTGGTGGGAAAGAGAGATGATATGGCTGACAAGAAGATGCCTCCTTGCTGGACAGGCACATTTGTCTCGGATAATACAAGAACAATCCTCTAAGGCCTTGCTACTCACCACCTGCTGTGCTTTTCTAAGGTAAAAATCACCTGAGCTCTCCAGAACTTAATCATCCCAGCAGTAGCCAGCTTTGAGTACAACTCACTAGGCACTATGGCAGCTAGCAGGCTTTTGTTCCAGGTCCATTTTTGTCTTTCTGCTCCATTTTCAGAAAGAAAAGTGGTTGGCAGGAACAAGTTACACACAAGTCCAGAATCTATTGCTTTCTGAATGCTGTACATGGTGTCGTGCAGCTGCAGCAAAACCCAGCCAAAACAAGATGTGGATCGTGCAAGAGCCAGGATGGAGCTGAGATCTCTGCTGAATCTCAGGGGGTTGTTTGTGACTTATTCCTATATTCGGAATTGTATCCTTGCAGTAATCTTGGTGTCCTGAAACTACCCGACAGGCACTTGTTACAGTGCATAACTGTTCTCTCGAGCAAATCTTTAGATATACACTCACTGAAGAAAATACCCATGGCTGCAGAGATTTGTAACCACCGCTAGGAATGGTCTGGATGAACTATGAATAAAACATCTGTGTGTGTGAAAGCACAGTCAACTCTTCAGCAGCAGATCTGTCCTTCAATGACAGGAGAAGGACAACAAGGTTAGAGAGCACATCACCTCCACAGCCTGTGTGAGGACAGACTGGAGCCACAAAGGTCCCCCAAACAGGGGAACAAAAAGGTGGCAGCGCTGCCTGACATCAAAAAGAACAAGATGCCGAGGTGATAGATCACTCCAAAATAGCAGGTAAGTCCTAGAAAGTGTAAGAAAAAAACCAGTCCAAGAGCCAGTCTGTTGTGAAGAACAACTCAGCAGACACAGCAAGGGCTTGACAGATGGTGTTCCTGGTCCTCCCTGCAGCACACAATCCATCCTGGCTACAGCCCTGGCTGCACGAGGCTTGGTGCCTGCATGGGGCGGTGAGAGAGTGAAACCCAGACAGGTGAATGACTGAGAAGACTTGTTTTTAGAATAAATACCTACTTTCCCTTCTCCAAAAACCTGCATTGAGTTTTATTATATTAATTTCCTATACTAGTGCAGAATCACTGTGCAAAGTAAAACCTGGGTAATAAAGTTGGTAAAAACGTACATGAAGCAGTGTGTCGACATTGTCAGCACTTACTGGCATGTTGTATGAGCATAAATTCCAGGAGATGCATCTTTTAGACCAGCTAATCTTCTAAATACATCAACTTCAGGGATTATTTTGTTGAAGGAGGGCCTAGCATACCTGGGAGGTATACCCCTGCATAACATGCTCTCCATAAAAAAACAAAACAACTGGATTTCATGCACTCTGGTGTTCACAGGAAATCAGCGTTGCTCAAAAATACGCATTTCAGAAAATTCTTTGACTGCGATACCTTGCACTGGCCCAGAGCAGCTGGAGCAGCTGCAGCAAACATGAAAGCAGCCAGCCAGCATTGCTTTCTAAAAGCAGTTTGTGTGGCTGAGGGCAGCTATTTGGGCCTCCTGCAGCACAGATACACCAAATCTTTGATCATTTCCGTGTGCCACCTTTGGAAGTTGTCCTTTCAGTCCTTAAATTGAAAAGGATTATAAAAACACACAGAAGCTGAGAAACAAGCCCTCTTGGAAGATGAGGTATTGAATCCATCTTCTTCCAGGTGCCAACACACCGAAGGGATGTTCAGGTGGGAAGAACTAGGACAGGTTCTCCTTGTCGAAAACCAGAATTTTGACACTCACTGGTGAAAACTATCTCTGACCCGGGAGTATCTGCATCAGTCACAAACCCAGCTTTTATTAGAAAGAAAGTCAACTCGCCACAGCTAACAGAGACTCACGAATCTTCATTTTGCCTCCCTGGGGAGACAACCCACAGCAAGTGAGAGAGGTCAAGAGAAATCTGATTTAGGAGAGCACATTTCTGTTCCTCAAAGCTATTCCCCAAACAATTCCATTCTTTGCTGCAGGAAAAGAGAGCAGAGAAACTCCCCTCCCACCATGTTTCAAGAGAATTGAGCCCTCTTAGCTCTTTGTATTCTCAGCCCTGTTTGCTTATCACTCGTGGCTCAGACAGATAGCTGCAATTCCCACCGGCTTTCCAGAAGAGATTAATTATCCCACCTAGGAACAAAGCATCCAGGAACCACTTAATCACACTTTCCAGAGAAGGAAGAGGAGAAACTATCCCATCCCTGGCAGAGGCGCTGGCGAGGATGGTCTGGCAGCGTTCGAGGCTGGAATACCAAATGTCAGGCTTGCTGTAATAAAGACATTTGGACTGCAAGGCAGGGTTTCCCTTCCCGTGCCGAGCTGAGAGCGACACATCAGCTGCCCTCGGGGTGAGGCAGCACTTGTACGGGTGCAGGACTCTGCTGGCAGAGATGCTCTCCCCCCAGGAAAGCCCAGTGAAAGCAGCCAGCACGTGCAGTGACAGGACACAGAGCAGTCAAGGAATCAAACCCTTTCCCGGGAGGGTAAGCTGTGTAAATAGGAAAATGAAAGAATTCTGCTCTGCATGAAGGCAGATTCTTGCCCCGCATTGCCAAGGGACTGAACTTAATCACTAATCCTCTGCAACAAGTAGCAGAGGCAGAACTCCAAGCCACAGCACTGTGCTGGTGGAGCAGGAATATTTCCCTGGAGACAGCAGCTCACAGAAGAGATAAGGTACATCACAGCCTTGGAGTGACAAGATTGCTATCGCAGCTTGTGCCTCATTACTATTTTCAACCTTCAGCACAGATCTATGATGCCTTTCCAGGATTAGCCTACTTCTAAAGCTAAAGAAAGTCTCTCTTCATTTACAGGCTGTTACTTATTTAACACCAGAATCACATTAATTGAGAGTGCCTTTGGACTATCCCAGCATTTTAGCTGTACAGGTACTTGAAATACCACATAGAGGGAGTGTACAGAGCAATGCCCAGAGCAAAACTTGACCCAATCAGAGCATGTTTTAGACATACAAACATTTCGGCCTCACATCTAGAAGCACAGAATCTGATGGTACATTTTGCCTTCTTTTTCAAATACTGTGGGTTTTTTTGCTTCCAAGGATTCCCATGAATGGTCATCTTAATAAAATTATTAAAATCTCCATATATGGCTTCACGTAATGCAAATACAAAAACCAGAACTGGAGACAAGTCAGCTCCCAAAGTTCTGGCCTAAAGCCTCCTGCTTTGCATTCTGGTATAAAGCCTAAATGCAACAAAGTGTGTCTTAACTTTCCACAGGGTCAAAAATGTTTCCTGCAACACATTCTTTTAGGACACTAACTCAGATGAAATAAAAATAAAGCTCGTTACCAAAGTATACACAAGCTTCTAAATATATATTTTGATATGATTTTGCTATGTGCTATAGTGCATTGTTACTCTCATCCTTTTCAGGACCTTGACACCTCCCCCAGCCCCAAACCAAAGGGCTATTTTGAAACAGAGGAAATGCATAACTCTTGTGCAATATCAGAAACTACTGGCTTATAATTTATGGCCAGTAATGAGCCTCCGCTATGCACCCTGAATCATTCTTCCAAAGGCAAAGTGGTTAAAAGTAATGGGTATCTGCTTCAGCTCAGAATAATGAGGATACTAAAAAAAGTATATAAACAGCTAAAAGGACATGCCAGCTCTGCAGAGAGATCTGCTCTAATTGAATGGGCAGTACACCTGCAGCATAAGCAAGTCAGAAGTACACATCATCCATCACGCTGGAGTGAAATTAATAGGTGTAAGGACAGTGCATGCCACGAGTCATTGCCCAGCTCTGTTTTGATGACTTACTTTCCCTCTGATCCGTAGCTGTTCATGCTGTCCTCGATGGACTCGTGGCTGGCCTGGCGGACGGTCCTGCTGGGCATCTCCACGGCCAGCCCGGTCTCAGTGCTCCTCTGGATGGCTCCCTTCAGCCTCCGGCCATCGCCATCTAGGAGAGAAACAGCAGTCAGGCTCTGCTCCCAAGGCCTTCTGAGGGACAGAGACAAAGCAGAGAAGCTCTTTCAAAGGACCAGCCTGGCATCTGGCAGCACTTTGCTGTCAGACAGTGTTTCCTTACTCAGTCCTGCTTCTTCAGCAGCTCCCGGTCAGCTCTGGGACACACCCAGTGCTCCACCAGGCCAGGGCCCAGAGGACACTCAGAGCACACACTCCACACCTTACCTGCTCCAACCATTTGTACCAATCAGTTATCCATGGAGCGGGCATGCACTCCAGCTGGCTACACCCAGAGCTACCCAGTCAGGGAACAGAGCAGCAGTAACCACGGGCACAGCTGAGGGGGCACAGCCTGACCATTCCCCAAATCCCAAATCTCTGCTTGTGCTGAGCAGCAAAGAGTGGCAGGTCCTTGGTGTTCATCAGAGGAACAGAGGGGACAAAAAGGCCAGGCAGCACCAGAGGTGCTGTGAAGGCAGGAGCCCTTCCAGACGGGCTACAGGGGAATAGTTGGGCACAGCCAAAATGTTCCCTGGTGGCACCAGAAGCCACCAGCAGTGGAAAACCCTGGAGAGGACTATTCCCTTTGGTAGATGCCCTCGGCTACAGCATAAAGGGAATTAAGTAGGTTCTGGTTCCTCCTGGGTGCAGTCTTCAGAGGCTCAGCCCTCTGAAATTAACAGCTGCTATTTTCATCCTCCATCTCTAGCAGTCTGTTTCCCAGAACAAACCATGTTATGCAATGAATATGTAATGAATACCATTACTATTAATTGCTGTAGCTGGTGTTAGGAAGCTCCAGATTTCATCCTACACAGAGCACTCATCCTGAAACACATCTGCTACAAGTCTTCTGAACAAAGCAGAATTATCTAAACTTTCTAAAGATGCCTGACCATTAATGGGGATTCAGGCAACAAACCTCTGACCCACACTGCTCTCAGAAGCCCACCAGCTGTTGGGAGTACCTGATCCAGTGCTGGGGCACCCACACAGGAAAGAAAGTTCTTCCTCTTATTCAGGTAGAACTTCTTGTGTATCACTTTCCAGACTACTTTGGAAATACGAGGGTATCTGTAAGAGCCTGTCTAAAACACACAGAACTCTTATTTGTGTAGCAGTCTACTTGACCTAAAACACTTTTCTTTAGATCTTGGTGTGAACAGGCACTTTCAGTAAGATACCAGAAATGCTTCCTATCCTACTCCTCAAATTTTATCTGCACTGAAATGCAAAGACAAAAATTCTCCCATAAATACAGCTATAAAGTACCTTTTCTTCTGGTATCCTTAGGTTTCCAACTGGGTAAATGTGTTGGCCCCAGGGCTCTGCACCAGCTGCTGTCCCCACATATGGTGCAGCATGTGTATGCATGTCCCTATGGGCTAAAGGGGATGGAATGTGCATGTTCTGGCTTAACATTAACTACAGTTTGTGTTGTTTGTGTGCCTTGAGCAATCACAAAGCACACTGTATAAATCAGGAAGTCACACAAACGTAAAACATATTTTTCCTGTGCTTTCAAAATCCAAACCTTCAGGCAAGAGTAACAATATGGGCACAACAAAAGCAAAGCCCTGTGAGAGGGTCGTGCCCATTCCCCCAACCACTGCAGATGCACCTTCTAAAGCCTTGTACAGCTCCCTGGAGCCTCTGATGGGGGCTGCAGGTTCCTTTCTGGGAGCATCCCACAGCCTTTCAGGCGCACTTGATGGTCCACTGGATTTGTCTCGCATTCACCTCCACAAACAATCTTTTAGTCATCTACACGCACCAACTCCTTCACATGTGCACTCAGAACACTCATCCTCCTGCCCCTTCAGGTTAGTCCTGCTGGCAGCCAGCGCCAGACAGCAAATGACACAGATGTAGGGAACAAATTAAAAATGCCCCGTGGCCCAGCTACGCAACATCTGTTTAAAAAAACCTCTTATCTCCCCAATCTACTGCGACGTGCCTGGAGGCATTCCAGCTGAAAGGACTGTTCATCCACAGCTGGCAACAAGTGAGAGGCTTGGGACAGAGCAAGGCTTTGGAAGAACCCAAGGTGCTTGCTGCTTTCTACCAGCCATCCCCAGATTCAAACCCTTAAAAGCAGAAGGGCCCAAACCCAAGGAAGGGCAGCACCAGAGCACTGTGCTAGAGATGATGGTGAGAGAGAAGGGCACAACAGGAGTAGCCAGTGGAAAGAGCCAGTGCAGAAAGGAAAGAAATATGGACCAAGTAGCATCTGCAGGCCAAAAATGTTTCACAAGCACCAGTCACCTAGCAGCAACCTTCTCTGGTCAGTGTGGAGCATCACATGGAGGCTGTGCCTCCTCCCTTACCTGAAATCTTTGTGCTTTGACACCTTTGCAAATCAGGAGGTAAATGAGATGCATCTACGTGAGTGTTGCCTGGCAAAATCATTTGTCTTAATTAGTTGGCAGTATCTGAACAAGTAAGAGTAGTATTGACGTTTTCTGCAGCATCACCAGATTTATTCCCTGCACCTTTTCCAGTTAAGCAGTAAACAACAAAGGTTAAGCAGTCAATCAAGCCTGCAGTGCAACACATCACTGAAGAGCAGATTTTCCTTCGGGATGACCTTGGGAAGGAGAAATTTTTTGGTCAAAGATGCAGGATGAAGAGACACAGCACCTCGCTGATGCCAAGAGCCAGAAGGGCCCAGCAGTCACTTTGCCAAGTTCTCAGTGTTGACAGGAGCTTCGATTTTGCTCTGTTCAGCCAAACAATTTATGTTTGGCTAGAGAATATCTCCTACAGCACTATCCACTCTGGATCCGAAGATATGGAGAGATGAAGAATCTGCCATTTGCCTGCACAGTTTATTTTACTACCTGACATTTAGAGATGTGACTTAAGTTTGCCTGGTTTCAGCTTTCACCCATCAGGTTTTTTTAGTGCTCCTCTCCTCTGTGCTTTGTGTTCTCGCTATAGAGACTTTTCTGCAGTGCAGCTGAGTTCTCTCTCAATCTTATTCTGACAAGTTAAACAGACTGACATCTTTATGTCTCTCATGCTCTGGCATTTTTATTTTTGTTTTCCTCCTGGCCTTGAGCCTTTTCAATGACCTCCCCAGGTTTTAAATGGCCTTTTGAGAACATGCACAGCAGGATTAGAGTCTGCATTTTAGTGCAGAAACATGTACACAAGGTAAAAATCAGCTTGTACCCTCGGCTTCACTGCTTCTGCTGGCATCTCCCAAGGCCACCCAGTAAGCTCTGGGTCACATCACACCTCACCTGGAGGCTGTGCAGTCTCTGCCTGTCCTGTGGTACAACCTGGTAGAACAACACATTAAGAAATATGTAAGCAAACGAATTTTATTCGAAGAGAAAGCAAGGAAAAGTCCAGACAGCTCTATACAGCTCTCCCATCCCCAATACTATTTACCTCTAATGTGCACACTGCCTGTGAATTTAGTGAGGTTTAAGCTCATGCTTGCCCCAAATCAAATGAAAACACTGAACAGCACAGGGCCTTCAAAAGAGCCTCCTGCCTTTGAGGCTTTTCCTTGACAACTGCTTTTTGAGATGTGAAGTATGTTTTTAATCTATTTATCACCATCACATTTTTTAGGGTCACGTTGTTCTAGGACAAAAACCCCTACATACTTATCACATTTACCCAGATACCTGCTTCTTCAAAAACTTGGGAGAAAAAAAATTTCTCACCAGACCCATTTTCCCTCAACTCTTTTTGACTGGTATTAATTATATTCCATCCTCTCGTTCATTATTAATTAGATCTCATTACCATGTTTCCCCTAATTCTCTCTGTGAGGGACATCAGACCAACGAAGCAAAAGTTCTGCTGGTTCACTGCTGGGTTGTCTGGAGGGCAAGGTGACCCGTGCAGAGCAGAGCACCCTTTGGAGACGTCCCTTCCTTAGCCAAGTTTTCAGCTGTCAAGCACACTGAAGGCAGCTCTTCTCAAGGATGATGCCACTCCTGCAGCAGAACCAACTGCCAACTAGAATTAAATCCTGGGGGTGGGAAACATAAGAGTGGCACTGTCCCCTTCTCTGCCCCCAAGGAAAGAGTCTCCACTTCTGTGTATTCCAACACATGACTCCTGGAAGACCTTCCTCTCTGCTGCTGATGGTGCTCTCCATGCTCAGAGACCAGCAGGGCTCGACAAAAACCTTCCTGAGTTCTGCAACTGCTCATCACAAGGTCATGTTTATCTAATTATTACTCCTACACGGAATTACTCTACAGTAGATGTTTATTAATGACACTTCTGAGTCATCTGACACTGTCTCCACTCATCACTTCCTTTTTCCCCACCCAGGTACTTGGTACCATCTCTCTCTTTTCCCACTTGGTTTTCAGTTTTCTCCTCCACGTTGCTGCAGTTCACTGGATCCCCCCAAAACCAAACCAAACCAGCAGGATGCCAGTGCTACAGACCCTCCCCGTAGTTCAGAATTAATTGGTATTGATTTAACCCTGAGATTAGGAATTGACAGCATTTTTAACTCAATCAGCTTCGCTCCTGAATCACCCAACTGCTTCCAAGCACAGAACACAGTGGCAATGTAAAGCACATGGCCACGTGGCACCAACAAAGGCCACCCAAAACACACCAAGGGTCTGGCAAAACACCCTGCTTAGCTTTTCTCCCTTCCCAAACTTCACAATGAGACGCAAGGGGGGAAAAAAAAAATCAGGAAGGGAAATCAGATGGATGTTTACTTTCATTTGTTCCTATTGCAAAACTTTGGGAAATGTAATGTTCCATATTTTCCAGGAAAGATTACTCCAAGCTTGAGCTTGGGAGACTGCATTCCTACTGCTTTTCTTACCCAAGGCAAGCAGTGTGCAGTGATTCCCATCCCTGTGTGCTGCAGGGCATCGACCTGGGCAGACTCTGCTCTCTGCTGCACACCTGGGCTTGTCAGCACGTGGAAAGAGAGACAAACCCCCACAATACAAACCTGCACTTATGAAACACGAAGATCTGACAACCCCAGCAAGGGAACAGAAA